AGCCACCTACATTTATTTAAAAATTTAGCACCCCCGACAAAAGGGACGTTAAGATCATGAAATAGTACTAGTATGTATAACTAAACACCATCTAGTTAGAAAGAACTTTCATACAAGAATAAGAAATCACAAGTATAACTCAAGATTTAAACGATCACCACCTTATCAAATAAAAGAATCATACAAATTCCACAACATTTTTACATAGCTTTTACTTTGGAGCATTTCACACTATTCATCATTGTTCACAATACCACCGCTATCTTGAGCGGAGTCCGATCTCGATCCGATCGGCTAGGTCGCCTAATTTGAGGAATATATTTCAATCACAATCTCATTTTCCCTTCTGTAATTCATTCAGAATACCACCGCTATCTTGAGCGGAGTCCGATCTCGGCCCGATCGGCTCGGCTAGGCCGCCTTTCCAAGGCATTGTTCCCTTCGCATTAATCACTTTGTTTCACATATATCATTTCATAGGCACTTGGGGCCGCAACTTATCAAATTATCCTTGGCACTAGGCCGCATATTTACATCGTTCCCACATTCAATGTTAGATTTGTAATTTAGGATAATAAGCGCACACAAGAGCAATTAAAATTATAGGCATAGAGGAGACCTCACATGGATGGCGCAACATACGCAGCTTCAATTTCAATTTAAAGTCCAAGCATTTCGATACATAATTCATATCCTTGCCCTCTTCAAGTTATCAAGACAACTCATTGATCATGTTGAGACATTTTTCATGCATATACGATTACAACATCAATTCATGTAAAATGACAAGCAATACAATAATTCAGCTTTAATCTTACCATATTCACACAAATACCGATGAAGCTCAATTTCTAAAAGACGGGGTTTTAGCCATACATGCCTTAACCGAGCTTTCCTTAATCCTATAACGTTCCGGAATGTTCGCACTTCAATCTATTTAAGCAATATAGCACAATTTAACTCATAATCAAGAAAAGATCATAATCTAAGCTCTCTTGAGCATTTTACCGAGAATTTAGTAATCATTAAGGCCTAATGGTTCTTTTGTGCAAGATTACACTAGCCCATTACCCATGCCTCCTCTTTTATAATTCCTCATACTCTTCAAGAACACATGCATGCAATGCAAACCCCCTTATCCCCATGAATTACCTCACCAATGACCCTTTGTAGCTATGTGTAAAAATGAGAGCTGAGGTGATGAAGCCTTACCTCTTGGGATGAGGGTTTAGGTCCCTCACTTGATTACACTACTAGAAAATAGACCTATTGCAATGGTTTATTATCAACGGTTATATAAACGTTGCAAAAGATAATCTATGGCAACGGTTATGCATAATTCTATCAGGGCTAGTGAGATAGTTAGTACAATAAACCGTCACATTAGGGGAATAACCCTTGCCATAGACAGGTCTATTGGGACGATTTATTTAAACGTGGAACTATATATATCTATGGTGACGGTTATTTAAAAAAAAATACAATTGCAACAGTGTTGCATTCCCTCCTTATATTGCCGCTTCCCAATTTACTAACCCGCCAATTTTTTCAAGGAAAAGATAAGAGACGGAGAGGAAAAAAAGAAAAACTAAAATTAATGTCCTAACAAAGATACACGGTACCCAAATCCCTAATCAACATAGTTGATCCACTAACGAAGATCTGAAGAAATTCCAACAGGTTCTTCTCTCTTTCTCTCCCCCTTGCCCTAACGCCTTTGTACCTTTATTCTACAACAATTTTTTTCATTACTTCGTTGCTCTCTCAGTCTTTGCCACTAAGAATATTGAGGTAATAATCATACTCACTTCAAATCAAAAGGGTTAGTACTTTATTATATGAAAATCCTTGATGATTTGTCTTTTGTTTTATTGATAGAAAAATGTATGCGATGAGTTTGCCTTTCTATTTATTGAAAAATTGCAATATTTGGGTTTGCTTTGAATAAAGTTTCGGTTGATGGGTTATTATATTTTTAGGTGGTTTTGTTTGATTTTGGGTTTAGGTAACGATATTTTTTAGGATGAAATTGAATGTTCATTGGTGAATGGGTTTATTTTGCTAGTTAACTAAAAGGCAGTATGCACTTATTGAATTCATTCTTGTAGGTCTGCTCTTCCTTTATACTAGTTAAGTTTCATTTTTTTGTTCTTATTTATTTATTTATTTTGCAAGTGAATGGAAAATTGAAATAAACCATGGGAATAGCTGCTTTATTTGTCATTGCAATTATATTTCACTTGTAAGATCAGTTGAAGTATAATGCGCAATGTCCAATTTGCTTTTCTTCTATGCTTATAAAGTACTTGTTGGGTCTTTATCAAAGGGAGGAAAAATGAAGGTATTAGATATCAGTGAATTTCTATTTGCTTTTGATCCATATGAGAAAAATAACTTATCAAAAGAAGAGGAGAAAATGAAGTCCTGCAAAGACCAGTGATTAGGGAGTTAATTGAGAAAAGTGTAATATGTGACATAAAGGGTGGGTAATTAGTTGCTTTTTAATTAATTTGAATGGTATGATTGAATAGTTGCTTTAAAGTAAAATAGTCTTCATTGTGTAGTAGGAACTGAAGATATTTCTCTTGGTATCAATTTATGGTAACTCTTCAATAATATAAGAAAGCTAACAGGTTTTATTGCTGAAAGATACATAAAATCCCACCAAGCATTGAAAATATAGATAACTAACTCATTAATCTGTATCTACCAAAATTGCAAAACATAATAATTTAGCTAGATGTACTAAGTATTCTATTTCTTTTGAATTACTTAGTTGCTAGATTTGCTTGTTTCTTATGTATTTTTTTATTCAATGTGTGGGTGATTTTATTCTCTTACTGCTTTATTGAAAGGTTAAATAGTTTAGTGGTCTGTTGATTGAAAGTTTTATTTAGAAAGTACATGATAGAACCTTTGTTATGACTCTTCATTTCAGACTATTCAGCAGATTATGCAAGTAGGATGACATATGTTATTTTCACCAATGAAATGGTTTCAAAAGTTTAAAAAAATAGTTCATGAGTAAGTAAACTATATTAAATTTGCTGAGCTTTAGCTCACCTGATAACAAATGGAAAAAATTCGTTTCCTCTCTTATAAGTAAGTCTCTTTATTTGCATTTTTGTTGCTTTCTGTCAATGTGTATATTTTTTTCCCAAGTCATAAAAGTGGGTAACAAACAAGATAGATAGATTTTGTTAATTAAACCTTATTCGTTGTAAGGGCACCACTCTTTTCCTTTTTTCTGATAAGGAAAAGTTTATCAGAAAAAGTATCAGTACTTATCGTGAACCCAATGAAAAGAAACAAATTAATGAAGGATCAGACTAAACCATTTAAAATCGCTTGATACTCTACCTTATATTCTTTTTGCTTCAAACCCTGTATGCCAATTATGAAATTGGATCATACATTGAACTTGTTGATAGTGCTATTGAACAGATCTTTTTTAAAATTTACAATTTGAATATTGATTTAAGTGTTTTGCTCGTATCATGTAGGATACCCAATGGATAATGGAGATAAAAATTGGATGGGTCTTCGAAGATCCACCGATGAGTATATTCGTGGAGTAAATGATTTTCTTGATAAAGCATTTGAACGATCTTCCCAAGGAAATGAAATATTATGCCCATGTAAAAAGTGCTTTAATCGTAATTGGCATTATAGAAATGTGGTGGAGGATCACTTAGTTGCTTATGGGTTTACATATGGATACACCAAATGGGTTTTTCATGGAGAAGGGTTTTCCTCCAGAGATTTGTCACATCCAACCAATGATGATGATGATGGTTCTGATATGCATGACGATATTGATGGTCTGCTTCATGATACTTTTAGAAATGTAGAAAGTGACTTGAGCCGTGAAGGAGTGAGAGAGGGACCATCTGAAGATGCAAAGAGATTTTTTAAATTAGTGGAGGAAGGAAAACAAGAGTTGTATCCAGGGTGTGAAAGTTTCTCTAAACTGGATTTCACTATTCGGTTGTTCTTGTTTAAATGCATTCATGGGTTGAGTAATGTGGCCTTTTCAGACTTGTTAGACTTGATAAAAGAGGCATTTCCATTTGCTAAATTACCTGAGTCTTTTCACAAGGCAAAAAATATGATAAAAGATTTGGGTCTTCATTATGATAAAATACATGCATGCCCGAACAATTGCATATTTTTTTGGAATGAGAATGAGAAGGCAGATAATTGCTCTATGTGTGGATCTTCTAGATGGAAGAATGTGTGTGATGGCTTGACTAATAGGAACACCAAAGTTGCTGCAAAGGTTTTAAGGTACTTTCCTTTAAAGCCTAGGCTTCAGAGGATATTCATGTGTTCTGAAACAGCTGTATCAATGAGATGACATGCTACTGAACGACCTAAAGATGGAAATATAAGACATCCTGTTGATGGGGAAGCTTGGAAGGATTTTGACTTGTTGCACCCGGACTTCTCTAAAGATCCTCGTAATGTTAGATTGGGTCTTTCAAACGTTGGTTTTAACCCATTTCGAACCATGAGCATTTCCCATAGTACATGGCCAGTCATGTTAATGAACTATAATTTATCACCATGGATTTGCATGAAGCCGGAGTATATAATGTTGTCAATGATCATTCCAGGTCTATCATCTCTAGGAAAGGATATAGATGTGTACCTACAACCACTAATTGTTGATTTGAAGGAACTGTGGGAAATTGGAGTAGAAACATATGATGTTGAAACTAACCAAACATTTCTAATGCGTGCAGCCTTATTATGGACAGTTAGTGATTTTCCAGCATTATCAATGCTTTCCGGATGGAGCACCAAGGGAAGATGGGCATGCCCCACTTGTAATTATGATACTTGCTCTCAATATCTCAAACATAGTCGTAAGATGTGTTACTTGGGGCATCGGGCATTTTTACCGCATGATCATCCATTTCGGAAAGATAAGAAATCATTCAATGGTGAAGAGGAGCATCGAGCCATGCCTACTCCNGAAGAGGAGCATCGAGCCATGCCCACTCCCTTATCGGGGGTAGAAATGCTCGAAGAACTACGTGAATTCTATAATGTCTTTGGAAAAGGCCAAAAGAAAAGGCCTCGGCATAATGACGGTCCATGGAAGAAAAGATCCATCTTTTTTGAATTGCCATATTGGGCACATAATAAATTGAGGCACAATCTTGACATGATGCATATAAAGAAGAACATATGTGATAGTTTGCTTGGGACTTTGTTAGATATACCTGGAAAATCCAAGGATCAAAATTCTCGCTATGACTTGCAAGAAATGGGGATACGCAAGGAGCTTCAACCATTAAAAGATGATAAAAAATGGAAAAGTTCATCTAGCTAAAGCTTGTTACTCTATGAAATCGGAAGAAAAAAGATTATTTTGCACTGTCTTAAAAAATGCCAAATTACCAAAAGGGTGTGCCTCAAATATATCACATCGAGTGCAAGTGGATGAGATGAAAATATTAGGATACAAGAGCCATGATGCTCATTTCATAATGCATTACTTGCTCCAAGTTGCGGTTATAAAAGTGTTACCCAAGAATGTCTCTTTGGCCTTGATTAGGTTGGGTAATTATTTTAGAACCATGTGTAGTAAGGTTGTAAAGCAATAGGATCTTGATAAAATGCAGTCTGAAATTATAGATATAGCATGTGACCTCGAAACAATTTTCCCGCCAACCTTTTTTGATATAATGACACATTTGCCTATCCATTTAGTAAATGAAATTAAGCTTGGCGGTCCGACTCATTTATGTTGGATGTATCCCTTAGAGAGAAACCTGTGTAAGTACAAAGCATTTGTTCGTAATCGAACTCATCCAGAAGCATCAATAGCAGAGGGATTTTTGGCAGAAGAGTGATTGAACTTTTGTTCGAGATACTTACATGATGGGGTGAAGACAAGATTCAGTCGCTATCAAACTGAGGATGATGAAGGCATTCAAATAGAGGGAGATAATTCTTCACCTATATTTCCTAATATAGGCCATCCAATCGGAAGTAAGAATAAAAGGAAAGGCAAGACTTTTGACATGGATTTACAGTTATGGTCTGAAGCACATCGATATGTTTTGTTCAATACTGGAGATGAACAAGTTGAGGCATTTATCAAGTAAGATAAAATATATAACTGTCATTTGTAGTTTAAACTTTATTTTTTTCATGATAATATATTTTAAACTTTTTCTCCAATGGTCTAATGATTAAATTTTATATTTATACTTACAAAGAGCATAAGAATTTCATTGGCAATCATACTAAAGGAAATGCATGGCTAAAAGCACGAATTCATAGTCGAGAATTCGAAAATTGGCTTAGAGAGAAAGTTAAAAATGTTGAAGTGCCCAATCATTTAAGATGGCTAGCTAAAGGGCCTAATACAGTGGCTAAAAGATATACTGCCTATTTCATTAATGGATATCGATTTCATACAATGGAACGAGATGCTCCATGCAAGACTCAAAATAATAGAGTAACTTTGTCAGCAACAACAAATAGTTTTGCTAGTGCTAGGGACCAAAATCCCATCGGTGGAACGGTTATCTACTATGGAGCTATTCAGGATATAATTGAAATTGACTATTAGGACTATTTTAGTGTTGTACTATTTAGATGTGATTGGTTTCATAATGAAATTGATGGATATGGATTAACGCGGATGTACTTCAACAAAAAATGCAGTACAAATGATACTTTTGTACTAGCATCTCAAGTACATCAAGTTTTTTATGTGGAGGATCCAACTGAGAAAGATGTTTATTATGCAAGAAATAATGTCCCTGTTGATCTACATGATTTGGAAGAAGAGAATTGTCCTAATATTGGAGAAACGTTTTTGGAGAGAGCCTGATGATGATATTGGTTCATCAAATAGATTACTCGATGTGGATGTTAGATGGTCGAGAGAAGATATACCTGTTGATATCATTGATATGCCTTCCCAATCACAAGATACAACTATGGAAATATCGGAAGAGGAGGATGAGTATGATGATACTGATTGGAATTGGATGGAGGTTGATGATTGATGAAGGATCTTCTAAACTTATTTAAATATATACTCATCATTATTTTGTAGTGAGTAATAATGCCATTTTTAGAAATATTATGTGACTGTTTTTCTTGTTTATATGTTTTTAGTCCTTTTGCATTTGTTTATCTCTTAGAGTTTTATTCTGAATTACTTCAATTTTACAGGTTATATACCAACAAGTGTTACTGATTGTAGATTACAATCCATGTAAGTTGCATAAAGTTTATTTTTCAAGTAAGTGGCACAAATTATTTCAAGTACTTATTATAGATATAATGCTCATGCTTTTTCTTCCTTTTTTTTGTAATTTTCAGTGTCATTATTGTGTCGTCTACCTGATTCTTCAACTAACCTTCTTCTAACCTGATTAGCTTTGATTGTCTTACATATACAGATTTAGATAGTTATGGGTCAAGAAGGGTCTTCAAGAAAAAATAAAAAAGGAAAAAGTCTGTCATATGTTCAAGCTGGAAGTTTGTCATGTTTGGCAAAAAAAAGAGAATGTCATTTACAACAAAAGAAACTGTTCAAACTATACGGTTAGAGAAAGAGCATCTGTTAAAATTAATTGAAGAACAACCAATAATAGGACCACGATCTGAAGCAAATGAACGACATGTAGAGGAGCAATCTTTAGAGGAGCAATCTGTAGAGGAGCAAATTGTAGATGAGCAGATGCAAATAGATTCTACCACTCCTACAGCTAATGAACAATCTGAAGAACAAGGCAAGACCACATAACTTAGAATCTGACTGAATTCATCCATGACCTCTGATTTTTTGTATTTTATTGTAGCTTCTGGTCTTGAGACTCAAAAAAGAAAGAGAGGCAGGACACAAATGCGTAGTGTCCATGGCCGAAAGGTGCGTAAGGTGATCACACTTAACAATCTCAATCAGCCCATTGGTCCTTCTAAAAAAGATGTAAGAGAGTTTGGTAGCTTCCTTGGTACATTGGCAAGGACTGCAACCCTTTGCCCACTGGATATATTGGACTGGAGGAAAATGGACACAAAAGATGATTTATGGACATATACCAAGGTTTAAGTTCCGATCCAAATGTTCATTTACTTGTTAAAAGTATGTTACAATTTTCGCTAATCAAATGAAATCAAATTGTAGTCGAAGTATGATATTCCAGATGCTGCAAAAAATGGACTTTATATTCAATTGGAAATGCTTGGAGAAGGAATAAAAGTCAACTGAAGAAAGATCATTATGATGCCTATCAAAATGATGATGTTCGAACGACAAAAAGGCCCGATTATATACCAGAATATCAGTTTAAAGAACTCCTGAAATATTGGAGTTCTGATAAACTACAGGTAAATATAAACCATTGTCTTGATAATAGTCTCCACAATTTGTAATATCTGTATATAATGGACATGTCCAGACCTGTAGAAACCATTAGGAACTCTTTTTCATCTTCTTTAATTGGTTGTTGGATAGAGATCATGACAAAGATTCTTACTATGTCTAGATGATTGAATTAATAAGACTGTGATTGAATTAATAAGACTGTGATAGAATCAAGGTTAGTATCACTTTATTCCTAGGTTAAAATATATATTTTACCAACTGCAAAGCTGCTTTTTTTTGCTTAAAATCTGCAGTCAAACTACTGTTTTTTAAAGTTAAAAACTATTGATTTTTTTAATAAAATCTGCTCTTTTTCTGCGTTTCTTCCAATCATGAAATCATGCTGATATGAAGCATTATAGAACCATTAATATTTCTGCAGATAGTGTTTAGTATAAACTTTATTAGTATATTTTAATGCTATCATCTTGGGTGACTGAGTTCATATTACTAGAGGTTCAAGTTCATATTGAAACATGGGGTTCTCTTGGAATTCCAAATACGGAAATGTTAATCACTGTTAGTGTGACTGATAAAAGAACCTCTATTAGTGTGATTGATAAAAGAACCTCTTGATCCAAGGTGTACTTGTAATTTACCAACCAGCAGTCTACTATGAAGAGAGTTGCACAAAAAAATTTCTGAGTAGAGTGAAGAGAGTTGCCTGCAAAGCTGTTGTAACCTCTGGTATAACAACCTCTAGTTTCTACTTTCTACATTTGGAGATTGGACTATGTGGGGTCTATGAAGATCTTAAATTTAATTATTAAATTGAATAGGTCTTTATGAAGATCTTGACATTTGGAGATTGAATACGTTTGATCTTCAATTATCATTCTCTTGTATGTCACACTAGATACTTTGTTGTATTTTCAACTGCGAATACTTTTTGTCCTATTCAAGTTTTTTTTTGTTTGTGGTATGATAAATCTTATTCTACAGAGTGTGTCTATGCAAATTCTTTTGTTTGGTTTGGATTATGCGGACTATTACTGTATATAAGTGCCTGTGACATAATCGATTAAAACAACACTTTTCTCGAATAGCTCCAAAAAATTGGTGTCTATGATTAATAAAATTGATTGAACCGGTAAAACTTGATTCATTAAGATAAATCAAACCAATAGGCCCTAATTTTAAATGTCATTATGGTTTGTTCTTAGGTAGGAGATTTTTTTCCTGCTTGCTTGTTTTCAGTAAACACATTGAATTACTGTTGTTATTTTTGCTTTCTTCTTGAGTGGTGGTGTTAATATTACTATAAATGGGGACATGTTGGGTAGGAATACATGACACATTAACTCAAAACTTTCCTTGTTCCTTCTTGATACTTGATCTTTGTCCTTTTTCTGAACTTTATTTTGAAAGTTACTTTTGCTTTAATCTCCGAAGGTCTATCGAAAACGGCCTCTCTACCTCGCCAGGTAGGGGTAACGTCTGCGTACACTCTATCTTCCTCAGATTTCACTCGTGTGATTATACTTGGTATGTTGTTGTTGTTGTAGTATATCAAAAATAGGATCTATTATTTCTGTTGGTGTTTCCATTGCTTCACATTTCACAAAGACAATTGAACTTTTTTTAGAAAGAATCTTGTTGTCTTGTAGATTCTCAGAGATCTTATTGAATGAGAAATATTTTGGATTATCCCTTCCCTATAACTATTAGATTGTTGTGTCTTATTACGTGACATGACATCGATATTCCTATATGTTTAAATGAAATCCTTTTATAAAACTTTTGCTAAATTATTTGTTTTTTAACTATTTGCAGGTGGAGAACATGAACAAGGAGACGAAAGTGATGAAGATCTGACTTAGGAGTATTAGCTTGATTCATGAAGAAACTTTACATATGATGTAGGAATGTTTTGTTTTTGAACACTTTGGAAACTTATGTGTTCCAATTCACTGGCAAATATTGTTATATATTTTGCTTTTTTGGATATTACACCTACCTGGATTCTTATTTTATTTATAATTAGATTTTTCTCGTAAATTATATATATTTCAAGGTATGTTACATTGTCGGTTTGTTTAACTGTTGCAATAGAGCTACAATAACCGTTGAAGTAGCCTAGAAAATAACTGTCGTAATATAACAACATAACCGTTGCAAAAGACATGAGTCCCAAATCGCATAAGCCAAAAGTGACCGTTGCAATATCATAAAGTACCATTGCAATAGTATTAAATAACTGTAGCAATAGCCTCAGCAACAATTGCAGATAAACTCTATTTCAACGCTTTTTAACCATTCCTCTAGAATCGCAAAATTTGCTGTAATATAAATCAAGAACAACCGTTGCAATAGGCTTTCTATTGCATCGGTTATTCAACCGTTACTAAAAACCGTCGCAATAGATCTATTGTAACGAGCACAAAAACTGTCGCAATAGCGTTGTGGCAACGGTTTTCCTGCCTGCCACAACGGTTGGGGAACCGTTACCATAAGCCTAATTTCTAGTAGTGTTATCTTCAATGATTTACCAAGGATTTGTGGAGTAATTTTGATGGGAAGCACTTTCCCTCTCTTAGACCCCTTTCTCTCTCTCTCTAAATGTATCAGGAAATGGGCTAAAAATGAGCTATTGCATAGGATATAACGACAGGGGGTCGGGTTTAAAATTTAGAAAACTGGAGCCCCGACTCGGATCTGCAACCGCATTTGCGATCGCAAAGTGGAAATACGGCCAGCATAATGAACCGCTAAAATTCTCCCCAAGACCTGAACACACTGCCTGGGTATATGGCAGAAATGTGGTTCGCATACTCGTTCTATAGTCACATAATGCACCAAAGAACTACCCCTTACAAAATCCCAAGGGAATTATGCGATGACTTTGCGGACCGCATATCGATTATGCGATCGCATAATTGGCCGCATAGTTGACATCGATTTGGCCAACACACTGCTTCACTCTACGACGACTATGCGGTCTGCATTCCTATTATGCGACCGCATAGTGGACCGCAAAAAGGGCACTTTTCTGGAAAACATTATTCTTTGACTTTTTAATGCATAGACTAGTTATAAAGGCTCGCCGCGAAGAATTTTACGCATCTCTAACACATATTCCTAATTGCCACTATGAGCTTTCGGGTTTATAGTGGAAATTTTCACGGGGCCTCACATTGCCTACAGGTTCGGGTCTTATACGGTCTATTGTGATGCCTCGAAGATTGGCCTTGAAGCGGTGTTGATGCAAGACGGTAGGGTGATTGCCTGCGTGTACAGACAGTTGAAGATACATGAGAAGAATAACCCTGTCCACGACCTTGAGTTAGCTGTCATTGTTCACGCCCTGAAGATCTGGCGCCATTATTTATACGGAGATCCCTGTGAGATTTACACTGACCATCAGATCTTGCAGCACCTGTTCAAGCAAAAGGATCTAAATTTGTAGTAGAGGTGGTGGTTAGAGTTGCTGAAGGACTATAACATCAGTATTTTTTATCAACCGGGCAAGGCCAATGTGGTGGCCAATGATTTAAGTCGCAGGGCAGAGAGTTTGGGCAGTTTGGCTTATTTACCAGCATTAGAGAGGCCTATGGCGATGGATGTTGAGGCCACCAGCCAGTTTGTGAGATTGGATCTTTCGGAGCCCAGTCGGGTTCTAGCTTGTGTGGTTTCTCGGTCTTCCTTATTTGATCGTATTAGGGAGCATCAATATGATGAATCTCATTTGCTTGTACTCAAGGACAAGGTTCAGCACGGTGATGCCAGAGATGTGACTATTGGTGATGATGGAGTAATGAGGATGCAGGGTCAGATTTGTGTACCCAATGTTGATGGGCTTTGGGAGTTGATTCTGGATGAGGCCCACAGTTCGCAGTATTCCATTCATACGGGTGCCACGAATATGTATCAGAATTTGAGGGAGCACTATTGGTAGAGGCAGATGAAGAAACATATAGTAGGATTTATGGCTCGGTGCCTCAACTGTTAGCAGGTGAAGTATGAGCACCAGAGACCGGGTGGGTTGCTTCAGCAGATAGAGATTCCAGAGTGGAAGTGGGAGCGAATTACCATGGACTTTGTAGTTGGGGTCCCACGGACTTTGAGAAAGTTCGATGGTATTTGGGTGATTGTGGATCGGCTGACCAAGTCCGCTCACTTTATTCCTTTGTGTACTAATTACTCCTCAGAGCAGTTGGCGGAGATATACATCCGGGAGATTGTTCGTCTGCATGGTATTCCGGTTTCCATTATTTCAGATAATGGTACTCAGTTCACATCACGATTCTGGAGAGTTGTTCAGCATAAGTTGGGTACTCGGGTGGAGTTAAGTACAGTATTTAACCCTCAGATGGACGGACAGTCCGAGCGCACTATTCAGATTCATAAGGATATGCTCCGCGTGTGTGGATTGAGTTTGTAGGGTCTTGGGATCAGTTCTTGCCATTGGCGGAGTTCGACTACAACAACAACTATCAGTCCAACATTCATATGACATCGTGTGAGGCTTTATATGGGAGACGGTGTAGATCCCCGATGGATTGGTTTAAGCCAGGTGAGGCTGTATTGTTGGACATAGACTTGGTTTAGGATGCTTTGGAGAAGGTTAAGGTGATTCAGGATAGACTCCATACAGCCCAGTCTAAACAGAAGAGTTACGCGGACCGGAATGTTCATTATGTTTCCTATATGGTTGGAGGGCGGGTTCTGCTTCAGGTTTCGCCTAAGAAAGGCGTTATGAGATTCGGGAAGAAAGGAAAGGTGAGTCCAAGATTTATTTTCCCTTTTGAGATATTGAGGCATGTTGGGAGGTTGTTTATGACGGGTAAACATGGCCCGATATTTCATGTTTCGATGCTCCGAAGGTATCACAGTGATCCGTCGCACGAGTTAGATTTCAGTTCAGTACAGTTGGACAAGGATCTATCTTATGTTGAGGAGCCAGTGGCAATATTGGACAGGCAGGTTAGAAAGCTAAGGTCAAAGAACATTGCATCGGTAAAGGTTCAGTGGTGGGGTTAGCCAGTCGAGGAGGTGACCTAGGAGACCGAGCAAGATGCGCAGCTGTTACCCTTATATTTTCATTACTTCATAAATGTCTTTATGCTCGTTCGAGAATGAACGAATGTTTAAGTGTATGAGGATGTGACGACCTGGCCGGTTGTCTTAAGAATTTACGCCATGATCCCTCATTAACTGCATTCCCCGAGTTTATTTCTGCTATTTTGATTTGCCGGGATGTTCGATTTTGAGTTTCGGAGAGTTTTGGGACACTTAGTCCCTAAATGAGAGCTTAAGTGTTGGAAATTTGACCGTAGTCGGAATAGTGTGAAGACAGTCTCAGAATGGAATTCCGATGGTTCCATTAGCTCCGTTGGGTGATTTTGGGCTTAGGGGTGTATTCAGATTATGTTTTGGAGGTTCGTAGTTAATTTTGGCTTGAAATGCCGAAAGTTGAATTTTGAAGTTTCCGGTTCGATAGTGAGATTTTGATCCGAGGGTCGGAATGGAATTCCGGAAGTTGGAGTAGCTCCGTAGTGTTGAATGTGATGTGTTTGCAAATATTCAGGTCATTCAGACAAGGTTTGATAGACTTTTTGATCGAAAGCGTATTTGAGAATTTTGGAGTTCTTAGGCTTGAATCTGTGGTTGATTTGTCGTTTCGATGTTGTTTTAGCTGCTTTAAGGATTGGTATAAGTTGGGACAGTGGTGTTAGACTTGTTGGTGCCTTTGGTTGAGGTCCCGGGAGCCTTGGGATGATTTCAGATGGTTGACGGAAGGAATTTGGAGTTAGAAGTTTGCAGCTTCAGCTGCTATCTATCATAACCGCACCTGCGGTTTGGGTTTCGCAAGTGCGGAGCCGCAGAAGCGGTGAACCAACCGCAGAAGAGAAATTGGGGGTTATCAGCAGGTTCCGCAGATGCGGGAGACTTACCGCAGAAGCGGTACCGCATCTGCTAATGGGTAATCGCAGGTGCGGAATCTAGCCTTTAAGTGAGAAGTCGCAGATGCGATCTTGACTCCGCAGAAGCGGGACCGCAGATGCAATAACGGCTGGGCAGAAATATGAAATTTCGAGGGTTTAGTTTCAAAAGTTGGAAATTCGATTTGTAGCTCGGGAGAGGGCGATTTTGGGAAGAAATTAAAGAGGAGATCAGTGGGTAACAATTCTTTAACCTTTTCTAGTTATATTCCATTAATCTATAGTTAGTTTCATCATTTAATTTCGGATTGGAGATAAAAATTGGGGAAAAGTTGGAAGAAAGTTCTTTGACCTAAAATTCGACTTTTGATTGGGAATTTTACCTTAGATTTTGATAATTTTGGTATGCATGAACTCGTGAGAGTATGAAGATTTTGAAAATATAAATTTTACCTGATTCCGAGACGTGGGCTCCAGGGGCGTTTTGGTAATTTTACCTAATTTCGCGTATTAGCTTAGAATTTCTTTGTAGAATCAGTTACTTGAAGTGTTATTTACATTATGAAATTGAATTGAATAGATTTTGACCATTTGGAGTCGAGTACTCGTGGCAAAACATGGTTAGGAGTTGATTTTGAGCCGGTTCGAGGTAAGTGACTCGTCTAACCTTATGTGGGGGACCTTCCCCATAGGATTTGGTATATTTGGTAATTGAAATGCCTTGTACGTGAGGTGACGAGTGCGTACTTGTGCTAATTGTTGGAAATCTGGTTTTCATTAAGTAATTACTAGTATGTTTCCTTTCCTATTTTTATTACCTGCACTATTAAGCCTGTTGTTAGCCTAGGGAAGCATGTCTACGTGACTTAATTGCTTTACTTGCTCAAACTGCCTTACCTGAATTCTGTGCAGCATGCTAGGCTAGAATTACTTGTTTGCCTTAATATGAAATTTGCCATTTCTGAATATTTTTCTTGTTGATGTTGTGCATTTACATTGGGGCTACAGATGTGGGATTCCGGTAGCTCCCCCTTGTTTGTTTATTTTTGGACTACGGATGTGGGATTCAGGTAGATCCCCTTGCATAGTTA